TGTGTGTGCAGATTTGGGACCAGTCCCTCTAGGATTTTCCATGTGTAGATTACGATGCATCTCTCTCGCCTGTGCTCCAGTGAGTACAGGTCAAGTGACTCCAATCGTTCCCAGTAATTAAGGTGTTTGAAAGAACTTATGTGTACAGTAAAGGTTTTTGGTACATTCTCTAGATCTGCAGTTTCAACTGCCTTGAATGAAGCTGTTAAGTGTACAGCAGTATTCCAGCCTAGAGTGAACAAGTTATTTAAAAAAGGATCATTGGCTTGACATCCCTTGCTTTGAAAGTTCTCATTATCCATCCTATCATTTTCCTCTCAGATATGATAGTGTTACTGTTGTGATCCTTGAAGGTGAGATCCTCTGACATTAACACTCCCAAGTCCACACTATTTTTCCACTCTGTTGTATGATCAGAGTTTGTAGTATACTCAATTCTAGTTATTATTTCCTCCAGTTTTCCATAACGGAGTAGTTGAAATTTGTCCTCCTTCAATATCATGTTGTTTTCCGTTGCCCATTGGAAAACTTGGAATATATATACTGGTCACGGACCGGGCCGCGGGGGCGTTGACCCCCGAAACTCTCTCCAGGTAAACTCCAGGTATACAGTCTCATGCAGATTCTAGTATCGTCTGCAATGGATAACACAGTGGTTTACATCTCTATGTCTGATATGATGATGATGAACAGGATGGGGGGAGCTCTTCACTGTGGCAACCTCCGACTTAAACTCTGTTTACCACTACTCTTTGTGTTCGACTGGATAGAAAGTTGAAGATCCTTCTGCCCATTTTGCCAAGTAATTTGTGATCATGCCTCTTAGAACTCTATCAAAGATTTTTATGATGTGGGACATTAGAGCTATTTGTCTATAGTTTTTAACTATTGCTTTGCTGCCGCCTTTATCCATATTTCACTGTCAAAGTGGTCTTTTGTGTGGGTCTCTGTGAAGGCTGCAAACATTGCATTTGACTCCTCTAGAAGTCCACTGATGAAAGGTATTTTGTTGGTGGAGGATGGCTTCAGGACCTATATTCACAAATACAAATGAAATCGTATTGCGGGTTTGTTGGGAAGATTTTGTTGTTGGCATCAGCAGCTGTGGTTCTGGAGGGGTAGGAGGCCACTGGCTGTGCCTCCATTCCAACAAGGCTCCAAAGTGGTGGATATTTTGGATACTTCTTTCCATTTTCTTTTTTCGTTTCTTGTCACTAAAAATTCACTTGGGGTGGGACTGTCGTAACTACTGTGGTTTTATGGGGTCTGTATCTCCTGGCCTCCTTTAAATGATATACAGGGCAGTTGGTATTGTAGCATCATTTTTTTGAGGACTGATGACTGGCACATTTCAGGGTGGAAGAGTTTACAGAAGGTAGAGTGACACACACCTTCAGAAAGGAGGTCGTGGCGTATTATGGAATGCTCAAAGTTGCACGTCTCATTTGTTTTCCTTGACATTCCATGCTTACAGATGCCTCAAGCATAAAATTTGCACTATTTTGCCTTTTGTTGGTTAGAATTTATGGCAGATGCATTCTCAACTTGTGCAGTAACCATGCCAGGAACACCACCACCAACTGTTCCTAGAGGTAGACCAACATCTTTCCCCGAACCAGACTTCCTCTACTACATCTGTAATGGAGGCTATGATTTTGTGTAATGGCGGCTGTGGTAGTCTTTAGGCGAGTCTGGATCAGCACTAGGACTAGGCTGGCTGATGTTTTTCTTTCATGTACTTTTTTCAGTGGGTCTCTATTTTGGAGTCATCTGTTGCAGTATGAGCATTTGTATGTTAAACTTTGCTCCTCTCCCTCGCATGTTGCATATATCTTGGGAAGACTATCCAAGAGGGCCTCATTGATTTTGTGCTTACGTGTTTCCTGCTTGAGGTCTCCCATAGCTCGATTGCTAGCGCACTCAGCTGACACAGAGGTCCGGGGGGTCGATCCCTTGTATGGGTGGAAACATTAGGACGTGTTTCCTTGAGGAACCTGCTGTCCAAGGTTCACCTATCAGTAAAATAGGTACCTGGGTCTTAGTTGACTGGGGACAAAACTGACCTAATGTGCCCGAAATGTTCTGCATAACAAGGGGCTTTCTATATAGTAGTATATCTTTGTCAGTTAAGCTTGTATATATATGAACTCGCACACACATATCATGTGTGTGCGAGTCATAGCTCCTGGCCCTGCCAGGAGCTTTGACTCTACCCCTGGTTTCTACTAGGTTCACTCTTTCCCTGCTCCATGAGCTTTATCATACCTCTTTTTAAAACTATGTATGGACCCTGCCTCCATTACATCACTCTCCAGAATGTTCCACTTCCTGCAACTCTATGACTGAAGAAGTACATCCTAACATTCCTGTGATTCAGATGAATTTTCAACTTCCAGTTGTGACCCCTTGTTGCTGTGTCACATCTCTGAAACATTCTCTCCCTATCCACCTTGTCAGTTCCTCTCAGTGCTTTATATGTTATCATGTCCCCCTTATCCCTCCTGTCCTCCAGTTGAGTTCCCTTAACCTCTCCTCATAGGACAAACCCCTCAGCTCCAGGACTAGTCAGTCTTGTTGCAAACTTTTGCACTTTCTCTTAATTTTTGGACATATTTGATCAGGTGTGGGTTCCATACTGGTGCTGCATACTCCAATATGAGCCTGACGTACATGGTGTACAGTGTCATGAATGACTCCTTACTTAAGTGTCGAAACGCTATTCTCATGTTTGCGAGGCACCAGTATGCTGCAGCAGTTATTTGGTTGATGTATGCCTTAAGAGATATGCTTGGTATGATGCTCACCCCAAGATCCTTTTCCTTGAGTGAGTTTTGCAGCCTCTGACCACCTAAGCTGTACTCTGTCTGCGGTCTCCTTTGTCCTTCCCAAAGCTTTATAACTTTGCACTTGCTATGGTTAAATTCCAGGAGCCATTTGTCAGACCAGGCATGCAGCTTGTCCAGATCCCCTTCCTTGTAAGCTTACCTGGTCCTTGTACGCTTGCATTCTCCTTAGTTTCACATCGTCTGCAAACAAGGACACCTCTGACTCTTATCCTTCCATCATGTCATTCACATATACAGGACCCAGGACTGACCCTTGTGGAACCCCGCTCGACACATGCACCCACTCTGACACCTCGTTCAGTACCGACACATAGTGTTTCCTTCCTGTCAGGTATTCTCTGATGTATTGCAGCACTTTACCCTCCTATTCCCTGCTCTTCTAGCTTTTTAACCAGTCTCTTGTGTGGTAATGTGTCAAAAGCATTCTTACAGTCCAAGAGGATGCAGTCTACCCATCCCTCTCTCTCCTGTTTTACTTCTTTTACCTTTTCATAGAACTCCAATAGGTTTGTGATATAGAATTTCCTTTCACTGAAGCCACGGTGGTTGTCATTTATTAGTCCATTTCTTTCTAGGTGATCCACCACTCTTTTCCTGATAATCTTCTGTGCAGCACTTGCTGGTGCACCTTACTACCTCGGTTTGCTGGGAATCTTTTGGTCTCCACTGTGAATACCTCCCTGAATTTTGAGCTGAGCTCTTCATATACTTTTTGGTGCTTCCCTGTGAGCTCCCCTCCTTCCTTCAAGTCTGATTACCTAATCCTTGAATGTTTTCCTCCTGATGTATCTATATAACAACCTTGGGTCCGATGTGGCTTCTGATGCTGTTATTCTCATACTGACGCTGGGCTTCTCTTCTTATCCATGCATATTCATTTTTGGGTCTTTGACTCAACTCCCCATTTTCCAGGGTCCTCTGCCTTCTATACTTTTTCCATACTCTAGCACACTTGGGTTGGCATCTCCACACCTAGTAAACCATGGGTTCACGCTGATCTTCCCGTTGTTTCTGTTGCCTCTTGGTAATAATTTTTCTATTGCCTCACTGCACTTTGTGGTCACATGTTCCGTCTCTTCATTTAGTGTCTTTCCCTCTAGCTCACTTACCCGCTGCACCTCATGTAGGAATTGCCTCATACTTGTGTAGATATCCAGATGTTGCACATGTGTCTTAACTTTCATACTGTCGGTATTTTATACCTTTCTTGCATAATGTTGTGGTGGTAAACATGACAGACGGAGCTAATGTTATAGTGGTAAGCATGACAGACATAGCTAATGTTGTGGTGGTAAACATGACAGACAGACCTAATGTTATAGTGGTAAGCATGACAGACATAGCTAATGTTGTGGTGGTAAACATGACAGACAGACCTAATGTTATAGTGGTAAGCATGACAGACATAGCTAATGTTGTGGTGGTAAACATGGAAGACACAGCTAATGTTGTGGTGGTAAACATGGAAGACACAGCTAATGTTGTGGTGGTAAACATGACAGACACAACTAATGTTGTGGTGGTAAACATGACAGACAGACCTAATGTTATAGTGGTAAACATGACAGTCACAGCTAAAGTTGTGGTGGTAAACATGGAAGACACAGCTAATGTTATGGTAAACATGACAGACACAACTAATGTTGTGATGATAAACATGTAAGACAGCTAATGTTGTGATGGTAAACATGTAAAACAGCTAATGTTGTGATGGTAAACATGTAAAACAGCTAATGTTGTGATGGTAAACATGTAAGACAGCTAATGTTGTGATGGTAAACATGTAAAACAGCTAATGTTGTGATGGTAAACATGTAAAACAGCTAATGTTGTGATGGTAAACATGTAAAACAGCTAATGTTGTGATGGTAAACATGTAAGACAGCTAATGTTGTGATGGTAAACATGTAAAAACAGCTAATGTTGTGATGGTAAACATGTAAAACAGCTAATGTTGTGATGGTAAACATGTAAGACAGCTAATGTTGTGATGGTAAACATGTAAGACAGCTAATGTTGTGATGGTAAACATAGCAGACACAGCTCAGAGTGTACATACTGACATTCCAGTATGATACAGACGCTCACTTTATTGAGCAACATCAGCAAATACCACATAGTAATATTAAACACTATATAAGCAGAAATACTTACACCTCACCTCACACAACGTCAACCCAACACTACAGCTGATGTTTGTTTGGCAGGGAGGTGCTACGCTGCCGGGAGTCACGCCGGAGATCTCATACTGTCTGGCTTCGGGGAGGGGGTTCTCAGTGACTATTCAGTGACTAGTTTAATTGGGCAAATTCTGCATTTGTCCTCAGAGGCTTAGGGATATCTGCCCACTGAAAAAAAAATGCGTAGTTACTCCTATAAAAAAAAACAATTCTGTAATTCAATAACATGTTTATCAGTGTGAATCATTCAGCAGTCTGGCCACCAAGGTCATAAAATTTTAGTCTCGGTATTCCTGCATTAAGACTATCTTATCTATTTTTGTGAGATATTATTTTTCCATAAAGAGGCTACCTATTCTGCTTACGTAAGATATTATTCTTCGACAGTGAAAGATATTACTTCTCGACAATGTTAGATATTTCACTCCACAAAGTTTTTAGCTTAATATCTCTATTACACACGTCATACCCATGGTGTGGATGGTAGTCAAAAGATTACAGAGGTACATAATGGGCCCAGGAACTGGACCCCAAAGTTTTGATAGCTGAACAAGTTACAAAGGTAATGAACTCCAGGTAGATCTGGTCACAGTTATGACTTAGTTACAAAGGTAATGAATCATCTACACGTCTATACCTGGTTACAATCATGAACGAATTACAAAGTAATGAGCCATTCACACGTCTACACCCGGTCACAAATGTAATGAGTTATTAGTGCAAATATTGTCACACACACGAGGGCGTACACACACACACTCACACACAAACACACACACACACACACACACACACACACACACACACACACACACACACACACACACACACACACACACACACACACACACACACTCAAACACACACACAACACCGAGCACGTCTCCGGAAGCACACATCAACCAGATAACTGCTGCAGCATATGGGCGCCTGGCAAACCTGAGAATAACGTTCCGATACCTTAGTAAGGAATCGTTCAAGACACTGTACACTGTGTACATCAGGCCCATACTGGAGTATGCAGCACCTGTTTGGAACCCACACTTGATCAAGCATGTCAAGAAATTAGAGAAAGTGCAAAGGTTTGCGACAAAGTTAGTTCCAGAGCTAAGGGGAATGTCCTATGAAGAAAGGTTAAGGGAAATCGGCCTGACGACACTGGAGGACAGGAGGGTCAGGGGAGACATGATAGCAACATATAAAATACTGCGTGGAATTGACAAGGTGGACAAAGACAGGATGTTCCAGGGAGGGTACACAGAAACAAGAGGTCACAATTGGAAGTTGAAGACTCAGATGAGTTAAAGGGATGTTAGGAAGTATTTCTTCAGTTATAGAGTTGTCAGGCAGTGGAATAGCCTAAAAAGTGACGTAGTGAAGGCGGGAACCATACATAGTTTTAAGACGAGGTTTGATAAAGCTCATGGAGCAGGGTGAGAGAGGACCCAGTAGCAACCAGTGAAGAGGCAGGGCCAGGAGCTAATACTCGACCCCTGCAACCACAAATAGGTGAGTACAAATAGGTGAGTACACACACACACACACACACACACACACACACACACACCTAGACCTGTGTCACTGACATGTATAGTATGCAAAATCATGGAGATCAGGAGGAGAGTGGTAGAGCACCTAGAAAGACAAGCTTATATAAACGAAGGAAAATCCTGTGTCACAAACCTACTGGAATTTTATGACAAGGTAACAGAAGACACGAAAGAGAGGGGTGGATAAATTGCATTTTCTTGGACTGTAAGAAGGCCTCCGACACAGTTCCTCTCAAGAGGCTAATGCAAAAGCTAGAGGATCAGGCACGCATAACAGGAAAGGCACTGCAACGGATCAGGGAATATCTGACAGGGAGGCAACAACGAGTCATGGTACGTGACGAGGTGTCAGAATGAGAGCCTGTGGCGAGCAGGGTTCCACAGGGGTCAGTCCTAGGACCTGTGCTGTTTTTGGTATCTGTAAATGACTTAACGGAGGGGATAGACTCAGAAGTGTCCTTGTTTGCAGATGATGTGAAGTTAATGAGGAGAATTAAATCGGTCGAGGATCAGGTAGAACTACAAAGAGACCTGGACAGGCTACAAGCCTGGTCCAGCAGCTGGCTTCTTGAATTTAACCCCGCCAAATGCAAATTTAACCCCGCCAAATGCAAAGTCATGAAGATTGGGGAAGGGCAAAGAAGATAACAGACAGTATAGTCTAGTTGGCCAAAGACTGCAAACCTCACTCAAGGAAAAAGATCTTGAGGTGAGTATAATACCGAGCACATCTCCTGAGGCACACATCAGTCAGGTAAGTGCTGCAGCATACGGGCGTCTGGCAAACCTAAGAATAGCGTTCCGATACCTCAGTAAGGAATCGTTCAAGACTCTGTACACCATATACATCAGGCCCATATTGGAGTATGCAGCACCAGTTGGAATCCACACCTGGTCAAGCACATCAAGAAATTAGAGAAAGTGCAAAGGTTTGCAACAAGACTACGGTGTTTGAATACGGTACTCTCCGTAAGTAAATTACTGTTTATCTTTGTACCTTATTGATGTACCATGTTAACAATTGTATGTACTCTGTATATGTACTGTCATTCTAAATAAAATATAAAAAAAAAAGTCCCAGAGCTAAGGAGATTGTCCTACGAAGAAAGGTTAAGGGAAATCGGTCTGACGACACTGGACGACAGGAGGGTCAGGGGAGACATGATAACGACATATAACATACTGCGAGGAATTGACAAGGTGGACAACGACAGGATGTTCCAGAGATGGGACACAGAAACGAGGGATCACAATTGGAAGTTGAACTCTCCTATGAGTCAAAGGGATGTTAGGAAGTATTTCTTTAGTCACAGAGTTGTCAGGGAGTGGAATAGCCTAGAAACTGACGTAGTGGAGGCAGGAACCATACACAGTTTCAAGACGAGGTTTGATAAAGCTCATGGAGCTGGGAGAGAGAGGACCCAGTAGTAATCAGTGAAGAGGCGGGGCCAGGAGCTATGACTCGACCCCTGCAATCACAAAAAGGTGAGTACAAATAAGTGAGTACACACACACACTCACACACATGTATACCTGGAGAGGGTTTCGATGGTCATTGCCCCCACGGCCCGGTCTGTGACCAGGCCTCATGGTGGATCAGGGCCTGATCAACCAGGCTGTTGCTGTTGGCCGCACGCAACCCTACGTACGAACCACAGCCCTGCTGGTCAGGTACTGACTCTAGGTGCTTGTCCAGTGCCCTCTTGAAGACAGTCAGGGGTCTATTGGTAATCCCCCTTATGTATGCTGGGAGGCAATTGAACAGTTTTGGGCTCCTGACACTTATTGCGTTGTCTCTTATCGTGCTAGTGGCACCCCTGCTTTTCATTGGGGATATGTTGCATCGCCTACCGAGTATTTTGGTTTCATAGGGAGTGATTTTCGTGTGCAAGTTTAGTGCTAATACCTCTAGGATTTTCCAAGTATATATAATCATGTATCTCTCCCACCTGCGTTCTAGGGAGTACAAGTTTAGGAACTTCAAGCGTTCCCAGTAATTGAGGTGTTTTATCGAAGTTATGTGTGCCATTAAGGTTCTCTGTACACTTTCTAAGTCAGCAATTTCACCTGCTTTGAAAGGCGCTGTTAGTGTGCAGCAATATTCCAGCCTAGATAGAACAAGCGACCTGAAGAGTATCATCATGGGCTTGGCATCCCTAGTTTTGAAGGTTCTCATTATCCATCCCGTCATTTTTCTAGCAGATGCGATTGATACAATGTTATGGTCTTTGAAGGTGAAATCCTCTGACATGATCCCTCCCAGGTCTTTTACATTAGTTTTCGATCTATTGTGTGGTTGGAATTTGTTTTAAACTCCGATATAGTTTAAATTTCCTCACATTTTCCATGTCGGAGTAATTGAAATTTCTCATCATTGAACTTCAAATTATTTTCTGCAGCCATTTAAAGATTTAGTTGATGTCCACCTGGCGTCTTGTGGTGTCTTCAATGAGGGACACTGTCATGCAAATTCGGGTGTCATCTGCAAAAGAAGACACGGTGCTGTGGCTGACATCCCTGTCTATGTCAGAAATGAGGATGAGGAACAAGATGGGAGCGAGTACTGTGCCTTGTGGAACAGAGCTTTTAACCGTAGCCGCCTCAGACTTTACTCTGTTTACTACTACTCTTTGTGTTCTATTTGTTAGGAAATTATAGATCCACCTACTAACTTTTCCTGTTATTCCTTTATCACACATTTTGTGCGCTCTTACACCATGGTCACATTTGTCAAAGGCTTTTGCAAAGTCTGTGTATATTACATCTGCATTTGTTTGTCTTCTAGAGCATCCAGGACCTTGTCGTAGTGATCCAGTAGTTGGGACAGACAGGAGCGACCTGCTCTAAACCCATGTTTCCCTGGGTTGTGTAACTGATGGGTATCTAGATGGGTGGCGATCTTGTTTCTTTGGACCCTTTCAAAGATTTTTATGATATGGGACATTAGTGCTATAGGTCTGTAGTTCTTTGCTTTTGTTTTACTGCCCCCTTTGTGGAGTGGGGCTATGTCTGTTGTTTTTAGCAGCTGTGGGACGACCCCTGTGTCCATGCTCCCTCTTCATAGGATGTTAAAAGCACATGATTGGGGTTTCTTGCAGTTCTTGAGGAACACGGAGTCCCATGAGTCTGAGCCTCAGGCAGAGTACATGGGCATATCATTTATCGCTTTTTCGAAGCCATTTGGCTTCATAGTAATGCCAAATAGGTTCCAGTCTGCCAAATTCTGTGTCTCATAAAAGAATCATTTAGGTCTTCAACTTTCAGTCTGGTTAGCGGCTCGCTAAAAACCGAATCATATTGGGATTTGAGTAGCTCACTCATTTCCTTGCAGTCATCTGTGTAGGACCCATCTCGTTTAAGTAAAGGCCCAATACTGGATGTTGTTCTCGACTTTGATTTGGCATAAGAAAAGAATTATTTTGGATTTCTTTAAATTTTATTTATGGCTTTTAGTTCCTCCCGCTTTTCTTGACTCCTGTAAGATTCCTTTAGCTTCAGTTCGATGTTTGATATTTCTCTGACCAGTGTCTCCCTACGTATTACAGATATATTTAGCCGCTCTGTTATTCTTTGCCTTCGCCTGTATTGAGAACGCCTTTCTCTTTCTAATTTACATCTCCTTTTCCTTAAGGGAATATGCCTTGAGCATACCTCGAGTGCCACAGAGTTAATTTGTTCTTGACATAGGTTTGGATCTGTGGTGCTTAGGCTCTCTTCTCAGTTTATATAATTTAGGACCTGGTTTACTTGGTCCCACCTTATGTTTTTGTTATTGAAGTTGAATTTGGTGAAGGCTTTATTCACAGTGAGCAAAGTCAGGGTATTTTTCCAGAATGGTTTGTAATATACCACTGTGGATAAAATACTTTGCCAATTCTTGAACATTTTTGAGTGATTTGTCTCTGAATTCATTAATTTTATCGCATTCTAGCACATAATGGCGCAAGGTGTGGCAGTAGTCCATCTGACAAAGTTTATACTTCGTTTGGTCTACATCTGGTGGTGGTGATTTAACCTGCCAAAGATACTTGTAACCCAGCCGGAGCCGGGCGGTAGTGACGTCCAAGAGTCTGCTTATTTTGTTGGATGCACCATAGGCATGTGGCTCCTCCTGCAAGATGGAATGGTGATAGATGGACTAACTGCTGTCAATCTCCCTGAGTCTTAAGTCAATAAAGTTCAGTTGAAGTTCTTTTCGTATTATTGTTCTTCAAACTGCTGACTGACAACCCAAAATTATACTCTACTTCCTCATACAACTTAGCCAATTCATCAGTTCTATCATGCATCTGAAGACCAATGTGAGATGGAATCCACAGCATGTGCACTCTGACTCCACTGTCCACAATCTTACCATACCTGTGTCTGGCTTCTGACACAAGCATGCCACAGTTTATACTTAATGAGTTGAGAGCATATATGGATGACAGAGAATCAGTTACAATTAAAGTGTGAACCTTAGATACAGTTTTTTTTAAAGGGTAGAGGACCAGTTATTAATGTTTGCTCCAGCTTCTTTGCGAAAGCGATCACCTGTAAGATAAGATAAGATAAGACAACAGCAGCACTACCAGCTGCACCAGTGGACTGGTGAACAAAATCATCGACATTATCTAATGGCCTGATGGCTAAAGCTCTCACACCATACGGCGAGAGTCTGGGTTCGATTCCTAGCCAGGGTAAAAACATTGGGCGTGTTTCTTTACACCTGTTGTCTACATTCACCCACCAGTAAATGAGTACCTGGGTGTTACTCGACTGGTGTGGGTCGCATCCTGGGACAAAACTGACCTAATTTGCCCGAAATGCTCAGCATAACAAGCGGCTTTCTATATGTATGTCACTGATGTCAGGTAGGCCTGTATACCTTGTACATGTTCTTGTAGTAAATAAAGATATTATTATTGTTATTATCAAAGATTTGTGTAAGAGTGTTCTGTGTGACTAAGTTATCAATACAACTTAAGGCATCATGTTTAGCTTCATGGCGAAGCTTTGGTTGTAATTTAAGAAGTATGAAGGGGATATGGAGGGATGGTAGTTTGAAACGGGGTAATATACCATGCAGCAGGGAAGTTGTGCAAGACTGGTATACAATACCGACAAGATGAAAGTTAAGACACTTGTGCAACATCTGGTTATCTTTATTGTAGACGTTTCGCCATCCAGTGGCTTTATCAATACAAATTCTTGGACATAATAAGAAAAACGAAGAACTATATACAAAAGATGAGGTAATCAGTCCCTCGGCCTTGGAGGTGGTGTTTAGAGCACCGTGGTTGTAGAGATGGCGAAACGTCTACAATAAAGATAACCAGATGTTGCACAAGTGTCTTAACTTTCATCTTGTCGGTATTGTATACCAGTCTTGCACAACTTGTCAGGCACTGCATCATGGTATCTTGATTCAGAGGACATCTACATGACTTTCTTCAAGACTTCTACAACTAACCCATCAATTTGGGAAGGACCTACTTCCACTGGGGAATCCCGCCTACCAGTGACTATGCCCTCGTCTGCTACACGTCCCTTTCACTGACGCCTATATAAGCGCCAGTCTCCTTGCCTGTGCTTCAGAATCTCTACAACCACGGTGCTCTAAACACCACCTCCAAGGCCGAGGGACTGATTACCTCATCTTTTGTATATAGTTCTTCGTTTTTCTTATTATGTCCAAGAATTTGTATTGATAAAGCCACTGGATGGCGAAACGTCTACAATAAAGATAACCAGATGTTGCACAAGTGTCTTAACTTTCAGCAGGGAAGTGCCGTTGGTAGGTAAGACACATAGGCAACTGTTGCCTATGTGTCTTACCTACCAACCTGTCGGTATTGTATACCATTTTTGAAGTGCCTTTGTTGCCTTATTTGACATAGATCATGTAGCTGGCTGATGCGGAGGTTAGTTCCAGTTTTTTCGATCCATCTGGAAGGATGTTCACCAGTGATGAGGAAAATTTGGAGGGCTTCTGTGCAGGGGTTTGAATGGGCTAACCTACGCATATTGACCCCAATAGGAATATTTCTTTCAGTAACACGATTTCTGATGATTGGAATATCAAGTTCTTTCCGCATATTTAAAATTTGGGCAGTATGAGGGCATCCTAGAATGATCTTCACTGCTTCGTTTTGCAGTTTTTCCAGCCCTTCAAGCTTCCAGTCAGACAAGAGTAAGTAGTGGCGCAGCATAATCAACCAGCGATGTAATACAAGCAAGATGCATCATTTTAACAATTTTAACATTAGCATCATACCTGGGACAAAAATCTGCTACAACTCTAAGTACTGTCACCCTTCTTTGTACTGAGGACAAAATCTCGTTACAACAGGTCCAGGTAGTGGGACCTCAAAGCCTAGATACCTGTATCTGGTTATATATTCTAGAAGAGACCCATCATGCAACTGGATATGACGAACTGTGCCTCTCTGTCGAGGAGGACGCCTGTTGCGTATCTTTGTTTTATCAGTAGAGATTATCAACCCCAGGTCCTGACACGAGGCTAGTACATGATTAAGGATGTTTTGGGCGTTGGAGAATCCGGTGGTGTGAATTATTATATCAACAAAACTAATCATATAATGATGGGGCTGCCTAGGCACAGCATTAAGTAAAGCATTAATTAGAATATTGAATAGAGTGGGATTGAGCACACCTTCCTATGGGATTTCTAATTCTAAGTCTTTAGTTACACTTCTATGACCATGGAACAACAAAGAAGACTTTCTGTTGGACAGGTAGCCTTTAATTCATCGGAGAAGCCATCCTCCAACATCCATTCTGGCAAGTTCACTAATGATTGCATGTCGGTTGGCTACATCACAAGCAGATTTAAGGTCAAGGAAGGTTGTGTATGAGCTGTCGGTGCGCAGGGTGAGAAAGGTGGTCATGCAATGATGTACGCTTCTTCCATGCATGAAACCATGCAACCAGGGAGACAAAAATTGTTTGATTCTGTCCATGAGACGATTTATAATCATCTTGAATGTTTTGCACAAGCAGCTAATATGAGATATTGGATGAAACGAGTTTTGTTGACTGGGCTTTGGAATGGGAATGATGAGGCTGTTGGTCCATGATTTAGGGAGCTTCCCAGTGACATAGCTCATGCTCTATAATTCAAGTAAAGGATTACCTGGTACTCGACACAGCAATCTTAGTATGAAGATTGAGACACTTATGCAGCATATGGGAATCTTTATTCAGGAAACGTTTCGCCACACAGTGGCTTCATCAGTCCAATACAAAGAGGAAGGCGTAAGGAGAGGAGGAGTATGAGGTAATCAGTCCCTCAGCCTCATACTCCTCCTCTCCTTACGCCTTCCTCTTTGTATTGGACTGATGAAGCCACTGTGTGGCGAAACGTTTCCTGAATAAAGATTCCCATATGCTGCATAAGTGTCTCAATCTTCAACTTGTCGGTTTTTCAAACCATTCATCACAATCTTAGTATGTTGTAAGTAATACCATCCTCCCCAGGCGACGTGGAGCTGCACTTTGTTAGTGCTGCATCAAGTTCAAAGTTAGCGAAAGGAATGTTACAGTCATCTTCCTTGCTGACCATAAAATAAATCAGTCTCTCCCTTGTATCATGTATGTCCATTAATTTCGCCTGTGTGGTACTAGGAAGATTGTCATAGCTAGATGTAGTAGCCCAAGCACTGACTAACTCATTCGCCCTATGTAAGGGATGAGGGTGCGCGATCTGCCCAGTTCTGTTACCCTTAATTCTATTTATGTCCCTCCATACCCGGCTAAGTGGAGTGTGAGCATTGAGACCATTGACAAATTGTTCCCAGTCTGTTTGCCGCAGCAAAAAAAAAAAAAAAAAAAAAAAAAAAAAAAAAAAAAAAAAAGGCAATTGCAACTTGTATATTTACTACCAATTCAGAGTCATGTACTTATATCGGTTATAACTATGTGACTGATGGGTTAGTATTATACCCCTTCAAGAATATTTTATTATTCCACATACACCAAAGTGGTTGGTGGCCTGGTGGCTAAAGCTCCCGCTTCACACACGGAGGGCCCGGGTTCGATTCCCGGCGGGTGGAAACATTCGACACATTTCCTTACACCTGTTGTCCTGTTCACCTAGCAGCAAATAGGTACCTGGGTGTTAGTCGACTGGTGTGGGTCGCATCCTGGGGGACAAGATTAAGGACCCCAATGGAAATAAGTTAGACAGTCCTCGATGACGCACTGACTTTCTTGGGTTATCCTGGGTGGCTAACCCTCCGGGGTTAAAAATCCGAACGAAATCTTATCTTATCTTATCTTACCTTTTATATCCTACCTCTCTCCCATCCTTTTCCAATATTTCTATCCTTACCCATCCTTCTTCCTTACCCACCTTACCAAAGCTCTGGTCAAGAAGTGAAGTGAAGTTGTCCTGTTCACCTAGCAGCAAATAGGTACCTGGGGTTTTTTTTTTATTCGCCGGTATTCTCCCGGCCCGGGTCTTTTCCAAGTAGTGGTGACCCGGCCTTGGCTCCCTATCTGGGGAGTGTCTCGAGACTTAAGTCTCCCATGGGAGGAGGTACAAGTACCCCCTCATCTTTGGGACCAACTGTCCCCAGGCCTAGCCACATTCCCCGCCCTCAAAGGGGCTCGTAGGGAGAAGCTAGGCCTCTGGTCTGCCATCTGCCCCGCCCCAAAGGGGCTCGTGGGGATGGCAGTCTTGTGAGCTGCAGGTGGTAGCAAGCTCAGGCCTTGGGTACCTGGGTGTTAGTCGACTGGTGTGGGTCGCATCCTGGGGGACAAGATTAAGGACCCCAGTGGAAATAAGTTAGACAGTCCTCGATGACGCACTGACTTTCTTGGGTTATCCTGGGTGGCTAACCCTCAGGGGTTAAAAATCCGAACGAAATCTTATTTTATTTTATCTTATCTTATTATACTAGCTTCTGACAACATTCCTTCCCCAGGAACTATATAGTTAGTTTAATGTTTATTATGCACCCCATACCCATCCTGTGGGTAGGGTTCAATAAGAAGTAAGTTTTAGTGATCCTCAAAACTTCAAACAATAACTACAGCAGCAAAAGGCAAATTTTCGTAGTCTTCTGCGCCAGCCTTCGTCGGGTGTGGACGTCCCTCTCTCGCCTGAGTATCAGTGACAAATTTCCCCCGTTCTCACTGGGACGTTTATCCTCGTCTAATTTGCCCGCCAGGCACTCTACAGGAGGGACACCTGTACATCGGCTTACTTTTAGCCAGCTCCATTTTTTCCACTCCGCGGAAAATTCTTTAACGGTCTTTGGTGGGAAGCCGGTTACTGAACTCAGGTGGGAGTGTGAGCGTCTCTCTATGCTGGGACTTAGCAAGGGCGTCCACCAGATCTAATTGGAAACTTCAAGTTTCTATCTCTATTTCCAAAGGAGCTTTTGTTCCTTTTCTTTCTTTTGCCTTGGGCAACAAATCTTCATCGTACCATCGAGAAACCGGGCTCGATACGGCTTATGCTGTCAGTGGCCCTTATAAACCCAACAACAACAACAACAAAGGGCAAATTTTCGTCTACACAAACACAGTAAGTCAAGATAATGTGGTCTTTATACGTGTCACTACAATATTCAGCATGTAGTAATGTTAAGCCAGTATATGTGAATAAGAATTGTATGGAAAATTATGCAGGAGTGTGTATTAGAAGTTGTAATATGATACTACTTACTAGGGGAAGTGAACATAATTTTGTAGTGGCTGCAGTAGGTGCTCAGGCCTCAGACACCTTTTATTATTAGGTACAGAAAGGTACTTAATGTAGTTACAGAAAGGTACTTAATGTAGTTACAGAAAGGTACCTAATGAATGAAGCTACAGAAGGGCACCTAATGAGGCTACAGAAAGGTATCTAATGAATAAAGCTACAGAAAGGTACCTAATGAATGAAGCTACAGAAAGGCACCTAATGAAGGTACAGAAAGGCACCTAATGAATAAAGCTACAGAAAAGTGCCTCATGAATGAAGCTACAGAAACAAAACAAACAACCAGTTTATTTCTTTGCAAGGTTGCATTGAGATTATGAATGAGGCTATAGAAAGGTACCAAATGAATGAAGTTACAGAAATATACCTAATGAATGAAACTACAGAAAGGTACCTAATGAATGAAGCTACAGAAAGACACCTAATGAATGAAACTACAGAAAAGTACCTAATGAATGAAGCTACAGAAAGGCACCTAATGAATGAAGCTACAGAAAGGCACCTAATGAATGAAGCTACAGAAAAGTACTTAATGAATGAAAGTACATTTAGGTACCTAATGAGTGAAAGTACAGAAAGGTACCCCTCAAGGGAGGTTCCTAGATGCTGGTGAGGGGCTCTTGACCTAGGGAATTGAATCTGTGCTCCAGTTCCCTGAATTGAACCTGAGTGTAGATGAATCTATAGTTTCCTAACAAACAGAACACAAATAGTAGTAAACAGAGTAAAGTCCGAGGCGGCTATGGTGAAAAGCTCTGTTCCACAAGGCACAGTACTCACTCCCATCCTGTTCCTCATCCTCATATCTGACATAGACAAGGATGTCAGCCACAGCATCGTGTCTTCCTTTGCAGATGACACCTGAATTTGCATGACAGTGTCCCCTATTGAAGACACTGCAAGACTCCAGGTGGACATCTACCAAATCTTTAAATGGGCTGCAGAAAACAATATGAAGTTCAATGATGAGAAATTTCATTTACTCCGATATGGAAAATGTGAGGAAATTAATGCTATATCAGAGTATAAAACAAATTCCAACTTCACAATAGAGTAAAAAACAATGTAAAAGACCTGGGAGTGATAATGTCAGAGGATCTCACCTTCAAAGACTGCAACATTGTATCAATCGCATCTGCTAGAAAAAAACAGGATGGATAATGAGAACCTTCAAAACTAGGAATGCCAAGCCCATGATACGCTTCAGGTCGCTTGTTCTATCTAGGCTGGAATGTTGCTGTACACTAACAACACATTTCAAGGCAGGTGAAATTGCTGACCTGGAAAATGTACAGTGAATCTTCACAGCACACACAACTGCGATAAAACACCTCAATTACTGGGAACGCTTGAAGTTCCTCAACTTGTACTCCCTAGAACGAATGTGGGAGAAGTACACGATTATATGCAACTGGAAAGTCATAGAGAGATTAGTACCAAACTTGCACATGAAAGTCACTCCCTACAAAAGCAAAAGACTCAACAGGCAGTGCAACAACCCTCTAATGAAAAGCAGAGGTGCCATGAGTACTCTAAGAGAAAACACAGTAAGTGTCAGAGGCCCAAGACTGTTTGACTGCCTCCCAGCATACATAAGGGGGATTACCAATAGACCCTTTTTGTCTTGAGGGAGCTGGACAGGCACCCAAAGTCAGTACCTGACCAGCCATGCTGGGTTCGTACGTTGGTTGGTGTGCAGCCAGCAGTAACAATGTAGTTGATCAGGTCCTGATCCACCATGAAGCCTGGTCATGGACCAGGCTACGGGGGCAGTGACCCCTGAACACACTCCAGGCATACTCCAGGGGGACAAAGTGCAAGGAAGCAGAGGAGAAGTTTGTACCCCAGGGCAACAGAAACAGTGGGAAGACAAGACTGAGCCTTGATTCACCTGAAGATGAAGAGAGGCCAAAGTTTGGTGAGCTAGAGCATGAAAAAAGTATAGAAGATAAAGGACCCAGGAAAATAAGTAAACCAGCTGAAGAGCCAGAAATGCACTTGTATGGATAACGAGGGAGGTCCAGCAGCAATACAAGAATAACATAGCACTGGAAACCAAATCTGACCCAAAGTTGTTGTACGGCCATGTCAGGAGGAAGACACTCAAAGACCAGGTAATCAGGCTGAGGAAGGAAGGAGGGGAGATCACAAGAAATGACCAAGAAGTATGTGAGAAGCTCACCCAGGAGATTGAGAGGTATTTTCGGTGGAGACAGGCTTCCAGCAAACTGGGATGGAAGAGTACACCAACAAATGCTGGACACACTACACACAGCTGTGGAGGAAATGAAGAAACTGCTAAGCGAACTACAGTGGACCCTCGCCTAACGATATTAATCCATTCCTGAGAGCTCAACGTTAGGCGAAATTATCGTTAGGCGAATTAATTTTCCCCATAAGAAATAATGGAAATCAAATTAATCCATGCAAGACACCCCAAAGTATGAAAAAAAAAAAAATTTACCACAAGAAATATTAATTTTAATACACACAAACTGAAGAAGAGATGTACAATACATGACACTTTCCTTTATTGAAGATCTGGTGATGACTGATGGGATGGGAGGAGGGGAGTGTGTGGATGGCCTTAGTGTTTAGAAGGGGAATCCCCTTCCATTAGGACTTGAGGTGTCAAGTCCTTTTCTGGGGTTACTTCCCTTCTTCGTTTAATGCCACTAGGACCAGCTTGAGAGTCACTGGACCTCTGTCGCACAATATATCTGTCCATAGAGGCCTGTACCTCTCGTTCCTTTATGACTTTCCTAAAGTGGTTCACAACATTGTTAGTGTAATAGTCACCAGCATGGCTTGCAATAGCTGTGTCAGGGTGATTTTCATCAAAAAAGGTTTGCACTTCAAGCCACATTGCACACATTTCCTTAATCTTTGAAGTAGGCAACTTCTTCAATTTCTCTCTCCCCTCTCAGGTCACTTGTTCTATCTAGGCTGGAATATTGCTGCACTCTAACAGCACCTTTCAAGGCAGGTGAAATTGCCGACCTAGAAAATGTACAGAGAACTTTCACGGCGCGCATAACGGAGATAAAACACCTCAATTACTGGGAGCGCTTGAGGTTTCTAAACCTGTATTCCCTGGAACGCAGGAGGGAGAGATACATGATTATATACACCTGGAAAATCCTAGAGGGACTAGTACCGAACTTGCACACGAAAATCACTCACTACGAAAGCAAAAGACTTGGCAGACGATGCACCATCCCCCCAATGAAAAGCAGGGGTGTCACTAGCACGTTAAGAGACCATACAATAAGTGTCAGGGGCCCGAGACTGTTCAACTGCCTCCCAGCACACATAAGGGGGATTACCAACAGACCCCTGGCAGTCTTCAAGCTGGCACTGGACAAGCACCTAAAGTCAGTTCCTGATCAGCCGGGCTGTGGCTCGTACGTTGGTTTGCGTGCAGCCAGCAGCAACAGCCTGGTTGATCAGGCGCTGATCCACCAGGAGGCCTGGTCACAGACCGGGCCGCGGGGGCGTTGACCCCCGAAACTCTCTCCAGGTAAACTCCATGTAAACCTCCTCCGAAGCAGTTTCCTCAGGTCTGGCCTCTTGCTGTTGAAGATGATCTAGCAGCTCATCAGTGGTTAGTTCGTCATTGTCCTCCTCCACCAACTCTTCCACATCCTCCCCACTAACCTCGCCAATATGAGCACTAGTTCCAGGTATTTTTTCCTGTTCACCTGGGTGTTAGTCAACTGTTGTGGATTGCATCCTGGGGGACAAGATTAAGGACCCCAATGGAAATAAGTTAGACAGTCCTCGATGATGCACTGACTTTCTTGGGTTATCCTGGGTGGCTAACCCTCTGGGGTTAATTGTTTCTCGGTAATTTTTCATGTTAAGCCATACCAACAACACACTCTCCACATCTTCGAGTAATACAGCTGATGGTGGTGCAGCAACAGCTGACTGTGGTGCAGCAACAGCTGACCATGGTGCAGCAGCAGCTGTGGTGCAGCAGCAGCCGACTGTAGTGCAGCAACAGCTGACTAAGGTGCAGCAGCAGCTGACTGTGGTGCAGCATCAGCTGTGGTGCAGAAACAGCTGACTGGTCCAGCAACAGCTGACGGTGGTGCAGCAGCAGCTGACTGTGGTACGATAGTATTTCTCACCCTTTTTACCACAGGGTTGGCACTAGAAGCTTTCTTGGGGCCCATGGTCACTTATTTTGCAGGTGAAATCACTAAAAACGCTGTGATATTATGAAATGTTCCTATTGTATGCTTGGATGTGACCGCGGAGGCTGGCTTGTAAACACTACCACCCACAGAACAAGTGAGGCTGGCTCAGGCTGCACGTGGACGCGTCTCGGACGAATTGCGTTGAGCGAGTTTTCTAGCGCTAGGCGAGGCAAAATTTTTGCGTTAAAATGTATCGCTAGGCGGATTTAACGTTATGCGATGCCATCGTTAGGCGAGGGCCCACTGTACAGTGGAACCCCGCCTTACGAACACATCGCGTTACGTTAAATCCGCCATACGAAGCATTTGAACGCAAAAATTTTGCCTCGCCTCACGATAAAAAACTCGCCTTATGTGATTCGTCTGGGACGCGTGTCATGTGTGGCCTCAGCTGCCCCGTGGGTGCCAGTGTTTACAAGCCAGCCAGTGTGGTCGCATCTAAGCATACATTTGGTACATTTCATATTCTCACAGTGTTTTTGGTGCTTGTAACTACAAAATAAGTCACCATGGGCCCCAAGAAAGCTTCTAGTGCCAACCCTGTTGTAAAAAGGGTGAAAATTACTATGGAAATGAAGAAAGAGATAATTGCTAAGTACGAAAGCGGAGTGCGTGTCTCGGAGCTGGCCAGGTTGTATACCAAACCCCAATCAACCATCGCTACTATCTTGGCCAACAAAACAGCAATCAAGGAAGCTGTTCTTGCAAAAGGTGCAAGTTTGTTTTCGAAACAGAGATCGCAAGTGATAGAAGATGTTGAGAGACTGTTATTGGTGTGGATAAATGAAAAACAGATTGCAGGAGATAGCATCTCTCAAGAGATCATATGTGAAAAGGCTAGGAAGTTGCATGATGATTTAATTAGAAAAATGCCTGCAACTTGTGGTGATGTGAATGAATTTAAGGCCAACGAAGGTTGGTTTGAGAGATTTAAGAATTGTAGTGGCATACATAGTGTCATAAGGCATGGTGAGGCTGCCAGTTCAGACCAAAAAGTGGCTGAAAAATATGTGAAGGAATTCAAGGAGTACATAGACAGTGAAGAATTGGAACCTGAGCAAGTGTTTAATTGTGACGAAACAAGCCTGTTTTGGAAGAAATTGCCAAGCAGGACCTACGTTACTCAGGAGGAAAAGGCACTCCCAGGACATAAGCCTATGAAAGACAGGCTTACTCTTTTGATGTGTGCTAATGCTAGTGGTGATTGCAAAGTGAAGCCTTTATTAGTGTATCACTCTGAAACCCCCACAGCATTCAGGCAAAACAATGTCCTCAAGGCTAATTTGTGTGTGCTGTGGAGGGCAAACAGTAAGGCATGGGTCACTAGGGACTTTTTCTGTGACTGGTTACACCATGCATTTACCCCCACTGTGAAAAATTACCTAATGGAAAAGAAATTGGACCTTAAGTGCCTCCTGGTATTAGACAATGCTCTTGGTCATCCTTCAGACTTGGCAGAGCGACTTTCTGGGGACATGAGCTTCATTAAGGTCAAGTTTTTGCATCCTAATACCACTCCTCTCCTGCAGCCCATGGACCAGTGGGTCATTTCAAACTTCAAAAAAAAAAAAAACTACACAAAAACTATGTTTCAAAAGTGCTTTGAAGTGACCTCAGACACTTGATTGACTCTAAGAGAGTTTTGGAAAGATCACTTTAGCATCCTCAGTTGTGTAAACCTTATAGGTAAGGCTTGGGAGGGAGTGACTAAGAGGACCTTGAACTCTGCTTGGAAGAAACTTTGGCCATAAAATGTAGAAAGGGATTTTGAAGGGTTTGGGGCTAACCCTGAGAAGTGTATGCCAGTTGTGGAATCCATTGTGGCATTGGGGAAGTCCTTGGGGTTGGAGGTTAGTGGGGAGGATGTGGAAGAGTTGGTGGAGGAGGACAATGAAGAACTAACCACTGATGAGCTGCAAGATCATCTTCAACAGCAAGAGGCCAGACCTGAGGAAACTACTTCAGAGGAGAGGAGAGAGAAATTGAGGAAGTTGCCTACTTCAAAGATTAAGGAAATGTGTGCAAAGTGGGTTGAATTGCAAACCTTTACGGATGAAAATCACCCTGACACAGCTACTGCAAGCCGTGTTGGCAACCTGTACAATGATAATGTTATGACCCATTTTAGGAAAGTCTTAAAGGAATGGGAGGTACAGAGCTCTATGGACAGATTTGTTGTGCAACAGAGGTCCAGTGACTCTCAAGCTAGTCCTAGTGGCATTAAAAGAAGAAGGGATGTAACCCCAGAAAAGGACTTGCTACCTCAAGTCCTAATGGAAGGGGATTCCCCTTCTAAACAATAACTTCTAAATAATAACTTCACCAGATCTTCAATAAAGGTAAGTGTCATGCATTCTATTCTTAGTAGAGTAGTAATTGTGCATGTCTTCTTCAGTTTGTGTGTATTAAAATTAATATTTCATGTGGTAAAATTTTTTTTTTTCATGCTTGGGGGTGTCAGGAACGGATTAATTTGATTTCCATTGTTTCTTATGGGGAAAATTAATTCGGCTAACGATAATTTCGGCTTACGATGAACTCTCAGGAACGGATTAATATCGTAAGGCGGGGGTCCACTGTATATACTAAAACCAATTATTTATGAACATTGGTATGGTTGGGGCAAGTTGGCTCAACAAAAATGGGGCAAATTAGCACAGTGTCAACTTGCCCCACATTACTATTTATATACTACATTTTTAGATTTTATTCGAGTTAGGCTATATCATATTTCTAATTCATTATTTTTGATATATTTGCTTTCATGTACAATATTTATGCTGTCTTTTCAGAAATGGTTCGAAGCTACAAACGGAAAACTGAGAGGTCCTCTACCCCTGCTGACATTATGTTTAGGGCTGCTAAACGTGTTAAGTGTGAGCACAAGTCAATCAGAGGAACTGCAAGGGATTTTGCCATACCATTTCGAACACTAGCACGTTATTGCAAGAAGATAACTGATGAACAACTGAAGGGTGAAGATAAAGCAATGCTTAGAGTAGGCTATGCTGCACCCAGGCAAGTCCTATCAGATGACCAAGAAAAGGAACTTTCTACATATCTTAAACAAGCAGCAGATATCTATTATGGATTATCTGTGAAAGAGGTAAGAAAATTAGCCTACCAGTTTGCTGAAAGTGCAAGTAAAACTATTCCTCCATCATGGAAAAAACATAAGATGGCAGGTTCTGACTGGTTTTCTGGTTTCCTAAAAAGGAACAAAGACCTTTCCATAAGGTCTCCAGAGACCACTAGCCTCTCAAGAGCTGCTGGGATTTCACCCTTCAACAAAGACACATTCCAGGGTTTTGATTTTTTGGGTGCTTACTTGACTGACAGACCACAGGAAGATCAACAAGAAACGCAAGTGTTTCAGCCTGCGATATATTTAAGTGATAACTCAGATGGCAATCACACACCACAGAGTCTGATCGCAACAGTCCAGTCAAAATCTTGTTCAGTTCAGAATGTTTCTCATCTTCAAGATGAGAATGAACCAAGACCCTCCACTTCTGGACTCTGTGGGAAGAAAGCCCCAACTCCCGAAGAACTGAGGCCATTGCATAAAGCTGGTCCCAGGAAGAGAAGTGGAATGAACAGGAGGAAGCACTCCGCTGCCATTTTGACTGAGACGCCAGTGAAAAAGACACTGGAAAAGATATCAAAAGAAGCAAAGAAGAAACAACCAAAGAAATCAAAACGTGTTCATGGTGATAGGGAAAATTCAGATGAAGAGGACAGTCTCTGTTTGGTATGTATGGGTCCTTTTTCCAAAAGCAAATCACGAAAAGTATGGATACAGTGTAGAATGTGCAAGTTGTGGGCCCACGAAGCCTGCACTGATAGATTTGTTTTATACATGCCCCAACTGTGACTCAGATGATGATTTAGATTAAGTTCACCTCAGGTGTTAAGTATTCTGTGCAATTATTATCTGGAGGTGCAATTATTTTCAATTGAATGTATAACACCTGGAGTTTACCTGGAGAGAGTTCTGGGGATCAATGCCCCCGCAGCCCGGTCTGTGATCAGGCCTCATGGTGGATCAGAGCCTAATCAACCAGGCTGTTACTGCTGGCTGCATGCAATCCAACGTACAAGCCACAGCCCGGCTGGTCAGGCACCGACTTTAGGTGCTTGTCCAGTGCCTGCTTGAAGACAGCCATGGGTCTATTGGTAATCCCTCTTATGTATGCTGGGAGGCAGTTGAACAGTCTTGGGCCCCTGACACTTATTGTGTTGTCTCTTAACATGCTAGTGACACCCCTGCTTTTCATTGGGGGGATGTTGCATCATCTGCCGAGTCTTTTGCTTTCGTAGTGAGTGATTTTCGTGTGCAAGTTCGGTACTAGTCCCTCAAGGATTTTCCATGTGTATATAATCATGTATCTCTCCCGCCTGCATTCCAGGGAGTACAGTTTTTTATTTTATTTTATTAAAAAAGGTTTCTTTCTTTACTAAGAAAAGATTTTTAAGTTTCTATGGAACCGAATTTTCTTGAAATGAAACATTATGAATAATCAATATCTAAATTTGCTGTTACATATTCCTAATTTACGTACTATTACTATTTGCTGTGTCAACTTACCCCATAGTGTGTGCCAACTTACCTTGTACATGGGGCATGTTGGCACATGTGAAATGTTTTTTTCTAAAGAATGCTGTGCTTTTGTTTTGAAAGAAAATTATTTTTTTTATTTCATGAAAATTAAGAGGAAGATTTATATTTTTCACTGGAAGTATAAAATTACCAAAATTGTTTATTGGTTTTCTTTCATCACCGAAAATGTAAAAAGTGTGCCAAATAGCCCTGGTCTCCCCTACACATTAAAATCAATAAGTGTGTCTTATTAGTCTTGAAGATGCCATATTAATAATGATAATAATAACACAATAATAATCACTCTAAGGAGCATTAAATATCGTATAAAACGTTAATATGGACATTTTGCTTAATCTAAGTACACCCCACAGTAGAATAAATTAACTTAAATATGAGATGTGGTAGCCAGGTGACTTGTAGGACTTGTGGTAGCCAGGCGACTTGTAGGACTTATGGTAGCCAGGCGACTTGTAGGACTTGTGGTAGTCAGGCAACTTGTAGGACTTGTGGTAGCCAGGCAACTTGAAGGACTTGTGGTAGCCAGGCAACTTGTAGGACTTGTGGTAGCCAGGTAACTTGTAGGACTTGTGGTAGCCAGGCAACTTGTAGGACTTGTGGCAGCCAGGCAACTTGTAGGACTTGTGGTAGCCAGACAACTTGTAGGACTCATGGTAGCCAGGCAACTTGTTGGACTTGTGGTAGCCAGGCAACCTGTAGGACTTGTGACGAAAACCAGACGCGTTCATCTGGTTTGTTTACATTATGTGTGGGGTGGGGTGGTGAGGGCTGCCCTTCCTGGCTACCCATACTTCCCAGCCTGACATCATACAAATAAAACTCACCTCTCACCCTACATTAAGACTACAAATATCTTAAGGTAATTAATAAGTGTATTATATATGCATTTTATCGCTCTAGGGGGCTTAATGTCATAGTAAGTACAGTGGACCCCTGCATAACGATATTAATCCGTTCATGAGAGCTCATTGTTAGGCGAAATTATTGTTATGCGAATGAATTTTCCCCATAAGAAATAATGGAAATCAAATTAATCCGTGCAAGACACCCCAAAGTATGAAAAAAAACATTTTTACCACATGAAATATTAATTTTAATACACACAAACTGAAAAAGGCATGCACAATTACATGACACTTACCTTTATTGAAGATCTGGTGGTGATTGATGGGATGGGAGGAGGAGAGAGTGTTAGTGTTTAGAAGGGGAATCCCCTTCCATTAAGACTTGAGGTGTCAAGTCCTTTTCTGGGGTTACTTCCCTTCTTCTTTTAATGCCACTAGGACCAGCTTCAGAGTCACTGGACTTCTGTCGCACAACATATCTGTCCATAGTGGCCTGTACCTCTCGTTCCTTTATGACTTCCCTAAAGTGTTTCACAACATTGTCAGTGTAATAGTCACCAGCATGGCTTGCAATAGCTGTGTGAGGGTGATTTTCATCCATAAAGGTTTGCACTTTCAGCCACATTGCACATATTTCCTTAATCTTTGTAGTAGGCAACTTCTTCAATTTCTCTCTCCCCTCCTCCGAACCAGTTTCCTCAGGTCTGGCTTCTTGCTGTTGAAGTTGATCTAGCAGCTCATCAGTGGTTAGTTCTTCATTGTCCTCCTCCACCAACTCTTCCACATCATCCCCACTAACCTCCAACCCCAAGGACTTCCCCAATGCCACAATTGATTCCTCAACTGGCATAGGATTCCTAGGGCTAGCCTCAAACCCTTCAAAATCCCTTTGGTCTACACATTCTGGCCACAGTTTCTTCCAAGCAGAGTTCAAGGTCCTCTTAGTCACTCCCTCCCAAGCCTTACCTATAAGGTTTACACAATTGAGGATATTAAAGTGCTCTCTCCAAAACTCTCTTAGAGTCAGTTGAGTTTCTGAGGTCACTACAAAGCACATTTCAAACAGAGCTTTTGTGTACAGTTTTTTGAAGTTTGCAATAACCTGCTGGTCCATGGGCTGCAGGAGAGGAGTGGTATTAGGATGCAAAAACTTCACCTTAATGAACCTCATGTCCCCATAAAGTCGCTCTGCCACGTCTGTAGGATGACTACGGGCATTGTCTAACACCAGGAGGCACTTAAGGTCTAATTTCTTTTCAGTTAGGTAATCTTTCACATTGGGGGCAAATGCATGGTGTAACCAGTCATAGAAAAAGTCCCTAGTGACCCATGCCTTACTGTTTGCCCTCCACAGCACACACAAATTAGCCTTGAGGATATTCTTTTGCCTGAACGCTCTGGGAGTTTCTGAGTGATACACTAATAAAGGCTTCACTTTGCAATCACCACTAGCATTGGAACACATCAACAGAGTAAGCCTGTCTTTCATAGGCTTATGTCCTGGGAGTGCCTTTTCCTCCTGAGTAATGTAAGTCCTGCTTGGCATTTTCTTCCAAAACAGGCCTGTTTCATCACAATTAAACACTTGTTCAGGTTTCAGTCCTTCACTGTCTATGTACTCCTTGAATTCCTGCACATATTTTTCAGCTGCTTTGTGGTCCAAACTGGCAGCCTCACCATGCCTTATCACACTATGTATGCCACTATGCTTCTTAAATCTCTCAAACCAACCTTTGCTGGCCTTAAATTCACTCACATCATCACTAGTTGCAGGCATTTTTTTAATTAAATCCTGATGCAACTTCCTAGCCTTTTCACTTATGATCACTTGAGAGATGCTATCTCCTGCTATCTGTTTTTCATTTATCCACACCAATAAGAGTCTCTCAACATCTTCCATCACTTGCGATCTCTGTTTCGAAAACACAATTGAACCTTTGGCAAGAACAGCTTCCTTGATTGTCTTTTTGTTGCCCACAATAGTAGCGATGGTTGACTGGGGTTTATTATACAACCTGGCCAGCTCGGAGACACGCACTCCACTTTCATACTTATCAATGATCTCTTTCTTCATCTCTATAGTAATTCTCACCCTTATTCCTGTAAGGTTGGCACTAGAAGCTTTCTTGAGGCCCATGGTCACTTATTTTGCAGATAAAATCACCAAAAACACTGTAATAATACCAAATGTTCCGATTGTATGCTTGGATGTTACCGCGGAGGCTGGCTGGTAAACAATGCCACCGGCGGAACATGTGAGGCTGGCTAAGGCAGCACATTAGACGAATCTCGGACGAACAGCGTTGAGCAGGTTTTTTAGCGGTATGCGAGGCAAAATCTTAGCGATAAAATGTATCGGTATGCGGATTTAACGTTATGTAAGGCCAACGGTATGCGGGGGTCCACTGTATAAGTGGCCAGGCAAGATGCCATACTTCCCACATGAATTTCTACAAATAAATACTTTTTACCTCTCACCCTACATTAAGACTACATATATTTTAAGGTAAGTAATTTGTGTACTGTATATGCATTTTATCACTCGAGGGAGCTTCAAGCATCGTAGTATAGTATGTGTGGGTGGGGTGGCCAGGTGGGGTACCATACCTGACTTCTTAGAGTAAATACTACTCACCTTTTGCCCTACATTAAGACTACAAATATTTTGAGGTAAATAATGAGTGTACTGTGTGTGTATTTTACTTTTTAATGACTAGTTCTATTGCTAACTTAATATATGTTAGTGTAAACTTATCTGGCATTTATATGCATTTGTAAATGGAAAAAATGGAGTTCTGCTTTCTGGCGAAGTCTGCTTTCTGGCAGTAGCCTGGAATCTAACCTGCCAAATAAGTGGGGCCCTACTGTATATGAATACGAATATGAAGATGAATTTTTTAACAAAGACAGGGGATCCTTTACTGGTTCCGGTAGCGAGTTCCAGATCTTCGGGCCCTTTATGTGCATAGCATTTTTGCATAGTGTGAGACTGACACGAGGGATGTTGAATTGTGACTGTGAATTCTGTTGTAACTGTCAATGAGTTTAAGTGGAGGGTTTATAGTGAAATTTAATGTTCTGTATATGTAAAAGGCACAATAATATGAGTGTATGTCTTGTATATTTAGCAAGTTCAGGCTTTTGAAAAGTGGTGGGGTGTGCTGTCTAGCACAGGAACTGGTAATCAACTGCAAAGCAGCTTTTTGTTGGGTTATTGAAGGTTTAAGGTGGTTGGCTGTGGTTGATCCCCAGGCGCAAATACCATAGATGAGGTAAGGATATATTAAAGAGTGGTATAGGGTAAGGAGTGCTGTTTGTGGTACATAGTATCGTATCTTGGAAAGGATTCCTACTGATTTGGAAATTTTCTTGGTTGTGTGTTGGATGTGGGAATGACATTTAAGATTACAGTCAAGAAGACCTAGAAATTTACTCTCAGTGTGCCTTGATATAGGGGAACCATTAATCAATATGTTGAGTTGGATATTTAACCCTTTCAGGGTTTCCAACATATTAGTACGGTTTATGCGCCAGGGTTATTGACGTACTAGTACGCATAAATTCTAGTGCCTTCAAATCAAGCGGGAAAAGGCTGGTAGGCCTAGATGTGAGAGAATGGGTGTGCGTGGTCGGTGTGCGCAGTAGAAAGAAAATCTGGGACCCAGTGGTGCATTGTGGGAACGCCATTTTAGTGCACCTTGTTCACCATGCCTCGTGGTAAGAAACTCCTCACTCCTCGGCAAATTGGGACACTTTTGTTCCCAAGTGACAGTTCTGATACAGATGGAAGTGCCAGTGAAGATGAGTTTCAAGGTTCTGATGAGGTTGTGACCGAAACTAATGACCATAATACCGGTAATAGTGTGGAAAACCCAGACAACCTTCACTCTTCCACTTCTGATGCTGGGCCGTTTTGTTCACGTTCAGTTGTACCAGAACGAAAGTGGAAACTCCTGTTTTCCCATATCCCAGACTCAGGTGTGAGCAATGGTGATGATAGTGATAGTGACTATGAACTACAAGCTCTTGAAAACAGTTCCAGTAGCGATAGTGAAGTTGAATATTCTCCAGTGAAGCGTCAGTATATATGATGGTATATGTGCTCTGGTAGTGTGCCATATGCTATTCCAAGGGGAAGGAACACATCTCGGAGTACATCCCATGGCTGTACAACAGGAACAGATAGTGAAAATGAAGATGATAGTGTTGCAATTGGGATGGAAAATGTGCATGGTGGTGGTAGTGGTGGTGCTGGCCGTGAGGCACCAGCAGTGGGCCATGCTGCCACCCATGCTGCTGCCTTAACTGATCTACAACAAAGGCCACCATCCCCCACCCACCCACCACACCAGCCTCCACAACCACAACCACCTGTCAATATCCAGTACCCACCAGCAGACCGCACCTGAGATTGGCAGGAAGCTGTCAATTTTGTTCCCAGTCCTCATCACTTTGATGAAACTCAGTGGAATACGGCCCACTTGTACACTTGGGTACAATGCCACTGAACT